TGGAAAAGCCTCTGAGACCACCGAGTCAAACCATTAACCCAACACTGCCACGTCCACCACTAATCACGTCCCCAGGTGCCACATCCACACACTTTCAGGGATGGGCACTCCACCACTCCCTTGGGCAGCCCCTTCCAACACCTGGCAACCCTTTCCACAAAGAAATTACCCCTGATATCCAACTTAAATCTCCCCTGGCACAACTTGAGGCTGTTTCCTCTTGCACTGTTACCTGGGGGTGACCCCCACCACCCCCCCACTCCCCTCCTCACCAAGGCCAGGTCGGGCACCAGGAGCTTCCCGTCGTCCTTCCGGGTCTCTCCGGGGCCGTTCATGTCCTTCTCCTGCTTCATGTCCAGGGGGGCGCTGGGGGTGGGCAGCGCCCGGCCCGGCCCCACATCCCCCCGGTGCTTCTTGGTGACGTGGGCGTCGGGGCCGTGCACGGTCTTCACGTGTTTCCGCAGGGAGCTGGGGTCCGTGTAGCGCTTGGTGCAGCCCGGAATCTTGCACACGTACGGCTTCTGCCCGGGAACAGCACGGAGAGGGGACGGGGTCAGCTCCAACCAGAGCCCCCTCCCCTAAAGCAAAACCCCCTCCCCTCCCCTCTGGATCGAAGAGGGTGAGTCCCCTCGGGTGAGTCCCCTCGGAGGGGGCACGGTGGGTGCCGGGGGGAGAGCTCAGGGAGGCTCCCCAGGAGCGGGATAAAGGGATCCCGGTGGGAATGCCGGGGACCAAGGGGGCATTTAGAGCAGGCAAAGAGGGAGTTGGGGCGCACAGGGTTGAAAAGGAGGGGTGTGGGGAGGTGTTGGAGGACGGGACCGACGCAGAGGAGCCCGAGGTGGGGCCGTACCTCGTTGGAGTGGGTGCGGTTCTGGTGCTTGGCGCGGTCGGAGGCGTTGGAAAAGGCCTTGTTGCAGCCCTCGTGCTCACACACGTAGGGTTTCTCCCCCGTGTGCGAGCGCAGGTGAGTCTTGAGGTTCTCCAGGCGGGAATAGGCCTTGTTACAGCCCTCGAACTGCGGGAGAGAGGGGGTGGGACACGTCACCCCCCACCCCACCCACGGCACGTCCCGCCTGCCACACACGGACCCGCTCCTATTCCACCCTCTCACCCCCTGTTTTCCCGGCTCACCGAGCGTTTTTGAGGGATTTTGGGCATCTCACCGTGCACTTGTGAGGTTTCTCGCCCGTGTGACGCCGCATGTGCACCACCAGCATGTACTGAGCCTTGAAGGGCCTCTGCTCCCGGGAACAGGCTGCCCAGTGGCACACGAACTCCTTCTTCTCCCCGTGGATGTGCTCGTTGTTGATGTGCTGAGGAGGGAGAGGGGCGTCACTGGTGGCACCGGGGAGGGGGACAAGGGATGGGGAGATACAGGAATATCGTGGGAGAAAGGGATGTAGAGGGATTGGGGTGGCAGGAAGGGACATAAAGGGACTGGGATAGCGGGTGGAGACACCTGAGTTTGGGGAAGACAGGTCAGGTGGTGTTTGGAGGAGACAGAGGACACAGGGGATGTTTGGGGGCTACTTCAGACGGGCCAGGAGCAGACAGAGGGGTCACAGTGGCTTAAGGGTGGTCAGGGGGATAGAGGAGATTTTGGGGAAGGAGAGCTGGAGCAAAGGAGGGAGTCTGGAAGCGGCTGAGGAGGAGGATGCACATCCCTCCCCGCCCAGGGAGCGACTTCCAGCGTCACGGTGAGTCCCCAGGGCAGGTGGTGGGAACCGGGAGCAGGAATCGTGGGCTGATCCAGGGGGGCATCACACAGGGCAGCCCGAGGGCAGATTTTGGGGTGGGGGCACCCCGGCAGCCCCCGACTCACGTGCACCAGCTGCTCCTGCGTGTCGAACTCCTTGGCACAGCCGTCCCAGTAACAGTTGGTCTCGTACACGGCCTCGCACTCGGCCTTCCCGTCCTCCTTCTCCAGCTCTTCCCGAACATCCAGCATCCCCAGCAGGGGGTCCTGGGGGAGCACGGCCACGTGAGTTCTCCAGGTGAGCACCCACGGGAGCGGTGATGGGACTGTGGAGCCCTGGGGATGTAGGGGGGGGTCCCTCAGCCTGGGATGTACCTGGGTGCCCGTGGACGCCGGGCTGGAGATGTCGCCCTCGGATCTCTCCTCTGGGAATTTGGCAGTCAGGGGGCTGCTCAGGCTCCACTCCAGCTTCAGCTGCTGCTGGGGCGAGGAGAGCAGGGAGGAGTCAGCACCGAGATTCCCTCTGGTTTGGGGGGGGCATCCTTACAGGGATACATCCCCCAGGGATGCACCAACGACATGGATGCCCAGGGCTGACACGGATCCCACCTCCCACGGATCCCCGGCTCACAGGGATCCCCCTCCTCACCTGGCAGTGTTTGAGGGCCCCACGAGCGGGGGGGTGGTGCAGGAGCCCTGGGCGCGTGGGCAGGGGCTCGTGGGAGCTGCAGGGAGGGGGGGGCGTGTACAGGTGACCTTGGCCCTTCTGCTGCCCGGGTGGGCTCTGGTACCCCAGGGACGGGCTGTGGAGAGCAAAGGGACGAGCGGGTGACACCATCAGGGGACAGGACTGAGGTCTCCGTGAGCAAACACCCCTCGCCCACCACCCCACCCAGCCCCCGGCTCTCCAGGCACTCCCCGAGGTGGGAAGGGGCACTCAGGCTCCGGGCCGGGCTCCCACCCGCGGGGGGCTGAGGGCAGGTGCCCACCTGATGGTGCTGATGGAGAGGTGCCCGTAGGAGCCGCCGGCGGAGGCGCAGCGGGAGTTGATGAAGGCGACGAGGGAGTTGGGAGAGGTTCGGATCACGGTCTGCAGGTCGATGCTGGAGTCGGACAGGGGGGAGATGGACAGCGCCCGCTTCTTCCCCAGCTTCCCCGCGCCGCGGGGCGTGGAGAACCGGGAGCCTGGGAGGGCAGAGCGGGGGGCACCGCCCTCAGCACGGGGTTGAGGACACACACCTGAGCCCCCCCTAAGGACACACACCTGAGCGCACCAGTTCGCTTTGGATTTAGGATAAAAGAGATGCCGAGCCCCCCATGGAACCCCCACGGCCCCCCCAAAACCGGGGACTCACCATCACCGGGGTGTTCGGCCCCTGGTGCCAGCCCATACCCACGGTGCCCGGGCTGGTGGCACACGGGGAAATCGAGGCCTGGAGGAGGGAGGACAGATGAGCTGGATGGGACAGAGGGACCCCCGGAGCACCCTTGACCCCGGGGGGGGTGAAGCCAGAGCCTGGGACCCCCCGCATGACCCACCTGGTGGTCCCGGGGCGGCGGGGGCTGGTCCGTGGGGGGGGCGCAGGCAGCAGTGCTCGCTGTAGCCGGCGGCCGGGGGTCCGGCGGGGTCGAACATGTCTCGGCGGGGGCCGGGGGGGGTCTCAGGGGCGCATCGGGGCGGCGGCGGGGCCCGGGGGGCTGCGGGGAGGGACGGGGGGGGGGGGGGGGGCGGGGGGGGGTGGGCCGCCGGGGGGGGGCGGCGGGGGGGGGGCCCCCCCCCCCCCCCGGGGTGGTTTAAACTAAAATAGGGGAGATTTGGGGCTGTTGGGGAGAAATTCCTCCCTGGGAGGGTGGGCAGGCCCTGGCACAGGGTGCCCAGAGGAGCTGTGGCTGCCCCATCCCTGGGAGTGTCCAGGTTGGACGGGGCTTGGAGCAGCCCCGGCTGGTGGAAGGTGTCCCTGCCCAGGGCAGGGGGCGGGACTGGATGGGCTTGACGGTTTCTTCCAACCCAAACCATCCTGGGATTCTACGAAATGGGAAAACGAGGCACAGCTGGAACCATTCCCGGGCCAAGGACCGGAGCTGGCTCCCTGCTCCTCTCTCCCCACGGATCCTCCACAGGTCCCACCCAGCCCTGCCTTGCCCGTGGGTCCCCACCCTGCCCGCGGGTCCCCACCCTGCCCTGGTCCCACCCACACACCGTGCCCCTGCCCAGGGGCTCAGCCCAGCCCACCGTGGATCCCTGAGGCCCTGCCCTGAGCCCGGTCCCACCCAGGGCCACCGTCCTGCCCCCGATCCATCCCCACGCCCAGGTCACCGTCCTGCCCCCCAACCCCATCCCCACCCACAGCCACCAGCCTGTCCCTCATCCACTCCTCATGGCCATGTCCTGCCCCCCATCCCTCCACCAGCCCACCCCGAGACCCCCGAGGGCTGACACGAAGGACAGAGGGGCAGGAGAAGCCACCGCAGGACCAGGCAGATGTGGGTGGCACTGGGGACAAGAGCTCCTGCCCCCTCAGCCTCCCCCTCTGAGACGGAGGGAATCGCCCCAAACAAGGGGTCTGGGGGAGTGGGAGCCCCTCACCCCGCTGGGAAAAGTGCTGGGTCGCGTTTGGAGCAGGGGGGGGCGAGGGGGGCAGCGATTCTTCCGCATGAGTTGCCCCTTTGAAAGCTCGTCTCGGGGCTTTGTGAGAGTGTCAGGCAGGAAGAATGGAGGGGGGGGGCAGAGGGGAGGGGGCTGCCCGGGACGGTGGTGGAACTGGGGAGGGAAAGGGGAAAGGGAGATGAGGAGGAACCAGGGGGCAGAGGAGGGGGGGTCTCACCTGCCCGCTGGACCCTGGGCCTCACAGGAAAGTTTGGGGATTAGCCCCAGGGGAGCCTCCTGCCTGACCCCTCACCCTGCCAGGCCAACGGTGGGCACAGAGGGAGGGGGGGCTGCACCCACCCCCCAACTCCACAGACCTGGGTAGGGGGCTTGCAGGGACACCTTCCACCAGCCCAGGTTGCTCCAAGCCCAGTCCAAGCTGGCCTTGGAGGGCACTTCCAGGGCTGGGCACACGGAGCACACACGTGTGCACAGCGTGTCACCTCACATGGGGGACACACGGACGTGTAGCACCTCAGCAACCCCAGTTTTCACACCACCTCCCTGCCCAGGGCTGTGCTCCCCCTGTGCCCCCTCCAGCACCTCCTGTGCCACCCGGGGGCAGGTTTGGGGGGCTCTGGTCCCCCGCACCCACCGAGGTGCAGTGATGGGTGAGGGTCTCACTGTGCCGAGGCACCACTGGGTGCAGGCAGGGAGAGGTTTGGTGAGCAGAGCCAGCCTGGCAAGGTGGGTGCCAGGAGGGTGTCAGGTGGGCACGACGCAGTGCCACGACCCCCCAGTCCCCCACATCCCCCCACCGAGCACTGGCACAGGACACCGGGGGGCTGCACAGCACCAAAACCACCCAAACCCCACCGCTCCCGGCCCCGGGACGCTCCCCCCAACTCATGGGGTCCGCAGGGGCTCCCCGAAGCCCCGAGCCGAGGGGGCTGGATGGGGCCGGGAACGCCGGGAGCCAATGGGAAGCAACGGGAAGCAATGGGAACCATCCGGCGTCTCGCCCACCGCCGCGCTCGCCTCCCCCGCCGGCCGCACACCGCCACGGCCCACCCAAGTCGCAGCCTTTGGGCATAAATTTGAGAGCCAGGCGCAGGCGGGATGAGGGGAATCTTCCCTCGCTCTCCTCCTGCCAAGAAACTCAAACTGAAACACATTCCTGCTCCTCTCTGCCAAGAAAACCAGGAGCGCAGCCAGCGGCGGGAGCTCTCGGAGCAGGGCTGGCTCCAGACGCCGAAACGCGGCGCGGGAGGGGGGTCAGGGCTGGCCGCCCCCCTCCCCCCCAGCTCCTCGCCTTTTATTTCCTGCAAACACATCTAAAATCTGTCATCTGGCTCCAGTTTCCTGAGGACACTGGGGAACGGGCTTGGGGGGGAGAGGGAAGGAGACGGAGGAGAAGGCAGGGAGGGAAAGGGGATGGAGGGAGCTCGTGGCGCAGGACAAGGCCGGGACAGTGACAGCGAGGGGTGGCGGGAGCAGAGAGACCCCAAAAGTGATGGGTGGTGGGAGCAGAGAGACCCCAAAAGTGATGGGTGGCGGGAGCAGAGAGACCCCAAAAGTGATGGGTGGTGGGAGCAGAGAGACCCCAAAAGTGATGGGTGGTGGGAGCAGAGAGAACTCAGCGCTGCCGGGTGATGGAGCAGGGATGGTGGGAAGGAGGGAGAGGCAGGAGTGGGCAC